GCAGTTTTTTTCCACCTTACTATTCCTTTTTAAAAAAATACATTTTTATTGACTTTAGAGAGAGCCAGGAGAGAGAAACATGAGAGAGAGAGAGAGAAACATCAATGAGAGAGAACCATCAGTCGGTGCCTCCTGCACACCCCTGACTGGGGATGGAGCCCACAACCTGGGCATGTGCCCTGACTGGGAATTGAACCAGCGACCGCTTGGTATATGGTGTGACGCTCAACCAACTGAACCACAGTGGTTAGGGCCCCACTGACCTTTTGGAGTGACCATCACTGGGCATTGGGATGCCCTGAGCCCAGTGCGGCTCCCCTCCTGCGTGGACGCTCATGGCTCCCCTGAGTCAGGCAGGGTGTGTGCATGCGTGTGTGACATGTGTAGGTATTCGCACGTACATACACACACAATTCTCTAGCTGTGGCTGCCATATTGGGCTGGCCAGGTTGTGACCAAAGAAGGTGTTGGGGGGTTGAAATCTCCTCTCACTCACCTTTTCCTAATTTGCATGGAGATACCTAATTTGCATGCAGATACTGAATATGCAGCAGCAGATGGACTCAGGTGAAAATCGGTGGTTGCATGTCACACCCACAAAGTTGCCTCTGCTGAGAAGAGGGGGGTGAAGGAAGGGAATTGTGTCTTAGGGGTCGCTGTGGCCTCTCATAGCCGGCCAGCTAGTGCCGGGCCCGGGGAGCATTTATCCGCGTTTGTTGGCCGAAGGATTGGGGGTAAGAAGGAAGGAGTGAGTGACCGGGAGGCCGGGGCAGTGGGCTGAGTGCCCACCAGGCACCGAGCATGTCACTTGTTCGAGCCTCAGGGTTTGAGTGCAAATGCCCGCTGGACACTCGCCCTCCTAGAGGCGCTAGACCTGGCGGAGGTCTCGGGTAGGGTTTGGGAGCTGGTGGGGGGTGTGGATCATAGGGAAAGCCAATGGCTGTGTGGTCGGGGTTATGGGGTGGTTCCAGCAAGTTTCCTGAGCCAGGCTGCAGATATGCTGGTGGGAGTGGGCCTGGGCTGCCTGCTGCAGATCTCCAGGGGCCACGCCGAGGTGAAGGTGAGCGGCCAGTGGCCAGACCCTTCTGCAACAGACCTCCTTACCATGTCCCCTCCCCCTCCTCCTCCCCC